GTCAGGGGAACCCAGTGTGGCTGTGGAAGGGTTCTTTTGATCCCCCAAATAGGGGGATTTATGGAAGTTCATAAGCCCCAAATATGATGAGTCATAGGTTTTGACACATCTGCAATCTGCACATGGGACCATTTTTTTCTCACCTTGAAAAGATCTCCCAGGGTCCCATATAGCAATACATAACCAGTATAGGCAGTGGTACTCCTATCAGGCAACCATGTTATACCTTAGTTATATGATATATGCGTTATCAGTTTTTTGGTTGTATCCTATAAGTTCCCATGTATTTCTTGGGAATGTTTATATTATCAGTTCCATATATTTCCTATTAACAACTTCCATATTTCTCGGGAATATACATATATATATATACCCTCTGGTTATTTAACATAGCCATGGAACATGGCCCATTTATAGATGGTTTACCTATTAATAGCATGGTGGATCTTTCCATGGCTATGTTAGTCATAACCAGATGGTATATATTTCCTATCAATAAGTGTTATAATCATATGATCCTCTTATTGAATAACGCCTCCCTCGGCGAAGCGTGGCGCCAGGGATCCGCTTGGTGAAGGCTCAACCCAATGTCATCAACCTGAGTGGTCGCGATGAGGCGACGGGGACGGGGACAGAGATTTTTGGGGAGATTTTCTGGGATATCATGGAGATATTTAGTGGATTTTAGTGGGATATTGCTGGGTATGGTTGGTAATAGATGTGTAAAAAGTTGATCGACCATGGTTGAAAAACATGTTTATGATTATCAAAGCCAATAGATAAAAACCATCATATGTTGTTTAAACATGGATGCACACAACACTCTTTGCTACGAATTTTGTGACTGGTTGTTTTCGTGGAGAAACATGTTGAAACATTTGAAGCTCGGATCCGATCTGGGATCATTTCACGATTGCGGCACTTCAGGCAGCTGGTTGCCATTTTCAAGGCTCCCCATCGGATGTCACGCTGCGAGGCTGATATGAGCCGACATTTCTTGATGTCTGGATACCCACCCAGCTGGAAAAAGTGGGACTTGATGAAGGCACCTGAGATGATGCTCTGAGGGGGATGGAGCCCCCCAAGTCTTGAAAGACCTGGAGGGAATGGATAAATGTCACCAGGGAATGTCTGCAAATGTTCATTTTAGGCATATTTTAGACATCACCTGGTGATATAGCCCTCATTTTCATGGTCATTTTGATAGGCCGAATATGATAACGAACCAGATTGAATCATTGGAATGGAGGGTAACGGGTAACCCATTGGCCACAGTGACGATCGACTCATGATCCGCAGGTGTGGTCCCCGCTGTGGGTGGGACTGTCCTACATCGATGACAGCTCTTGTTGGGTTATTGCAAGGTGCCATTCAGTGCTTGAAAAGTGGCTTGGGATGGGAAAGTCGTTTCTAAAGCTGTCAAGAATCTGAGTAGTTTGAGATATGTTGAGATGAACAAGTCCGATTTCATGAGGAAAGCTGGATTTTCCACTTCTACTCAGAGGGCATAGCAAATCTGTTTGCAGATCATCTTGGTGGATCATCACCGGGTCGAAGATATGCCTGACCAGATATCTTGTCACATATGTCTGAAAGTAGGGTACCACAAAATCCAATTGTTATCATCATATTCCCCATTGAAACGGCCAAATGTTGGGGGTTCCCCATTTTTTTTGGGCACCGAACCCCCCTATTTAATATGTGTATCCCAGAACTATCCATAACTATCCATTGAAATCCATCGAATATGTTGATTAACTATATTATATTATATGATAATTCATTACATCCCCATTATATCTCCATTGTATCCTTAAGGTGATTGGTACTCTCATCGTTGCTGGTTGATTCCCCATTGAATCATCATGAACATATATGGTTTGTCTACATTGGATTATCACCAGAAGTTGGATTGTCACCATTGTATCGCCATTATATCACCATTATATCACCGTTGCTTCCAAAATCCCAGGGTTTTCTCCGCCAGGAATGAAGCTGATGCGATCAGCATCCAAAAGATCTACAAGATGATCGAGGACAGGCCCCAGGTATCCAAAAAACCTTGGCATTTCCAATGCTTTCGGCATTTTTTTTCCATTGAAGTTTTGGAAAAACCTTGGGTAGTATCAGAGTTTCAAGACATAATTACCCATCTCTATATATATAGTATACAGTATGCCTTGAATGTTTTTCGCTGGGTGTCAGTGTTTTGGGCACAAGCTGCTAGCTAATGCCCAGGGCCCTTCCAACTTCCGCGGTGACAGGAGGAATTTCGGCGGCGTTGGTGTCTGCTATCCTCCGTGAACCCCTAGTCCACCCCCCTGTCATTTGTCAGGACCTTGAGGTGGAATCCATCCATTGGGGCAGCCTTTGTCTCGGCATTTTTTTGGGGTTGGTACTTGGTCAAGTGCTGGAATACCTTATTTTGTTAAGGCAGTATCTGAATATTCAGTTGAAACTCCGTGTTGGGGCTGTGCACAATTATTGGGCTGTTAAGTCCCGACTCGCATGAGCGAGGGTATTGCTGAGCTGGTGCGTGAAGTGCGAGCTCTACGTGAGGAGGTGCTGCAGCTCACGTTGCGGGTGATTGACCTAGAGGGTGGTGAGACTCAAGCACCGGTGAGACCCGGCAGAGCTGCAACTGGCTCTCCTATCACTGTTACTTGCAATTTCCCCCAGGGACCAGCTGTTTATTCCCCAGCCCCTTCTGGTAACTCAGCTGCTGCTGCTCCTTCAATTGTGTCATCTGCCAACAGCCCTGCTTACTCAGGTAAAGCTACGGCCGCGGATTACACTGAAGCGGAGAGGCGAGAGGTGGCCATTGAGATTGGCAAATTTTTTCGCCGGTGCTTGGCTGGTGAGGAGCGAGGCACGAGTGGGAGGGACCGCATTCGATTGCAGTCTCGTTGCTACGTTTTGTGTCGGGATATTTCAGGGCAGAGCTACAACCCTGTCCGTGTATTCAGCTCTTTTTCTGCTATCAAGCCCCTGGTTAAGCAGGGCGGCAATTGCGGAGATTCAGTTTTTGCAGGGTTCCCGACTTACTGGGAAGCTAGTGTGGCGGTGAACACTGCTGGCTTGCAGTGGCCACCACCTGATGCATTCGGATCTGCCTGAAGACGAGGAGCGGGACGAAGCGCTGCATCCTCCAAATCCTGTGACAGCGCGGCAGTGCACAGTCCTCATTGAAGGTGAGGCGGGATTGGCCCCAGATCCAGCCTATCCTGTTGGTGTTTTTGAAGTTCCTTCTGAAGCTGGGGGTGAACCTACGACGGTAGCTTGCATCGCCATTTCTGAAGTTGAGGGAAGACTGCTAGTTGCGGTGCCGTTTTCCGTTTGGCACCGAGTATCCAGCAGACGAGTTTTGCCACAACGAGCCCTGGGAAAGCCAGTTGTTCTCGAGGCCCCTTTTTTGGACCGAGCCGACCCGGCTGGCGGTGCTCACTCAGCGAAGCTCTGGGTGGGAATTCTTGCAGCCGAGTGTGAAGCTCATCTTGTTTTTGATCCTACGACTGAGTTTGCAGATTTTGACTATCCATTTGACCCTGCCGGACCATTTGTTGTCCCAGTCGCTGATACTTTGATTGAGGTAGCTGAACAGCATTTTGCTTTTTGGACAGCTCCTAGTGCTCCGCCTGAAGAGGCAGCACCCAGTGCAATAGACCAGCGGTTGGCGGTTTTGGAGAAGAGTGTCGGCCAGATTGCCGAAAGTTTGAAGCATTTAGCTGCAGAGAAGCAGCGACCACCAGCGCTGCGAGCTGGGCCAGGGCCATCAGCTGCTCCCCCTGCGACAGCACCTCGCGTCTCATTCCAATGCCCTCCTGGATTGGGAACACATCGAGGCAGCATCGATGCAGAAGTGGTTCAAGCTGCCAGAGAAGCAGGCATTCCCCAAGCCCACATCGAGCAGATGATCAGTTTAGCGCAGAAAGGAAAGCCCAAGTTGCAAGATCTTCCGCTGCCGCGAAAAGCAGCTCCTGTGCAGTCTCGCGACCCCTTGTCCGAAAGCGAGGCAGACGAGCCCGAGATGCCCGAGCTCGACGCCGAAGGACCTCAAGCTGTGGCCAATGCAGTTCTGACTTCAGCAGTTACCAAGCTCACTCAGATAGCCGGGCATTTGGCGCAGCAAAAGAAAGCAGACAAAAGTTTGGATGCCGTGCTAGACGGTGTTGGGTCGGGAAGCAGCGAGACATCAGCGGTGGCGGGTTCCCGCCGCTATGCAGCAGCACTGCGAGCTTTGCGGCGAGCCCTACTTGCACAGCCTCAAGAGATCTACAAGATCATCGAGGGGAACATGGAGCAGGACTTCAATCTGCAGGCGCAGGTGCCTGGAAGCGCGGGAGTGCAAGTGACAGCACGCGCCTGGCTAGAGATGAGGTCGCGCGTGCAAAACTTTCAGACTCCAGTGCGGCTGTTGTGGGGAATTGCGGGTGCCTTGGACTGCCTGCGGGCCGAAAAGCCTGCCGAAGCCCGGGCTCGATTGGCCCTGTTGCTTTGCCAAGGGGATCAACTCAGCATAGATCGTGGCAACTGGATTTTAGCGGGCGAGATGGCCCTAGAGGAGCCGCCGCCGCTGGCGCAATTTGCGGCCCACTCCCTGCCGCAGGAGAACGAAGCCCCTTACACGCGCTTGGTGGATGGAAGGTGGGTCGATTTGTTCCTCCAGAAGCTCAACGATTACGACAGCCTGGCGGAGAAGAAGCGGAAGTTGACATCAAGGCGAACTCCGCCTGGCAACCCGCCGGTCGAGCAAAAGCCGACTGCCAAGGCCGAACCAAAGAAGAAAGGCAAGGGCAAGGGAAAGCAACAAAGCAGCGGCGATGGTGGTGCAGCCGAAATGGACGGAGCTGCAACCGCCGACCACAAATGAGTACTGCAGCTCAACATGTAGGCCCCGAGCCTTGCACTGGTCCTTTGCCGAGTTCTTCTTCACCAGCGCGGACCTTAAGTGGTACCGCGAACAACGGTCGGGGACCAGTTGCAAGGGGAAGGGCTGATGAACTCAAAAAGCTGCATAATGAATTGCCTGCTGCGTTGAAACAAAGCTTTCCTGCCGTTGTCGGTGCCGCTGATTCCGCCAATGCACGAAAGGTGCCTGGTGCCGAAGCTAGCACTGTCGAGGTCACCTCTTTTTGGAATTCATTACTCAGGTGGATGCTTGGAGGACCTTCCAGCCGCCTGCGAGCTTTTTTGCATGCTTCTCTGAAAACCCAGGCTGACAGGGAAGAACATGAACCCTGTACCTCTAGGCCAGTGTGGCCTATGCCTATGCCTTTCCACAAAGGGCAATTGCGGAGCGGTGACAAGGCCACCAATGCTCTGCGACGGGCGCTGAATGTCATGGTTTTGACAATGAATTGGCTGCAGCTGGGATCGCCTGCGCGCTGCCCCCAGGACTTCAGGGCTAATGCCCCTCTGACCGAAGAGCAGCAGGGCATTGTCTCTCGGTTGGTGCGCCTATGCACTGAGTGGGCCGCTTCGGGGCCCATCGCTGCCGCTGCTATGGGTAGAACAGCCGGGAAAGTGGAGAGCCTGGAGCACAATGTAGCTTTGCTGACCACCGTTGCTCTCCAGCTGATCGCCCAACAAGGGTCCAGTGTTTTTTCCAGTTCTGTGCCAAGACATCGTGCCGGTCCTGCCGGCAAAGCGAGCTCCTTAGTGAGCGAGGTCCAAACTGCTAAAGACATAGAAGCTCACCGTTTGCAGTTTAGCGGATGCCCAGCGTTTGATCCAGTGCCTTTGCTGGATGCTGATGCAGCGGCATGGCATGCAGAGCCCTTAGACTATGCCCTCGCCCCTGAGGAGATTCTGGAACCAGTTCCCCGTGTGCAAGTGCGAGGCCAACATGCTGAGGTACTCAAGCTGCTGCACTCCCTGGATGAAACTGGCAGACTAGCCCTTTTTACTCCTGCACAAGTGCGCATGCCCTTGAGGGCTGGACTGTTTTGCCTGATGAAGAATTTGGAAAAGGACCGCCTTATCATGGATGCCAGGCCAGCGAATCTGGCCGAAGAACCACTGAATGCATGGACTCAGAGCATGGGTTGTGCAACGCCTCTTTTGGATATGGTGCTTCCCCCTGACCGGGTTCTGCTTGCGGCAGGTGAGGATCTGCAAGACTACTACTATTTCTACAAGGTTAGCAGAAACCGTGCTGCTCGCAATGCTTTAGCCTTCTCCCTCACTGCAGCTGAAGCGCAGCGCTTCAAGAGTTTCAGATATGTGGAAGGGGAGGCAACTCACTACATCCCCGCCCTCAACACGATGGCGATGGGGGACCTCAATAGTGTGGAGTTCGGGCAGCAAGCACATATGAAGTTGGCGTTGCAGAGCGGCATCAAACTGTGGGACTGCATCACCTTGCGCGGGCGCATGCCCCGCCAGAACTGGGTGGTAGGCATCGTGATAGATGATTTCATCATCTTGGAACAAGTGCCTCGAGCGAAGCCTGCTTCTACTGTTTCCTCTCCACTGGCTGATCGCATGGTCCAGTTGTACAAGCAAGTGGGGCTAAAACCTCACGATGGCAAACGTTTCCGAGGGCAAGTCCATGCCAAGTTTTGGGGCATCAGTTTGGATGGAGACACTGGCATCATTAGGGCGCAGCTGGAACGAGCGGTACCAGTAGCGGTGCTTACTGCCCAACTGGCACGGTGTGGTTATGCTGACAGAAAGTTGCTTGAGGTGCTCACTGGTGCTTGGGTGTCGATCCTGCAGATGAGACGGAGGTGCATGTGTTTGCTGGAAGAAGTTTTTTCGGAAATCCAGCGTTTTGACTATGGAGTAGTCTTTCAGCTGTCGGCAAAGGCCCTAGATGAACTTTGGACCATGGTCGTTTTTGCACCTTTGTTCTGCAGCGATTTGAGGGCAGAAGTACTGCCGGAGCTTGCTTTAGTGGATGCTTCAGACAAGTGGGAGGCTGAGGTCGCCTCTCCTGTGACCCACAGCCTGGCGGGGGAACTCGCGAGGCAGCGGCTGACAAAAGCCTCCTGGTCGCGCCTCCTGAGCCCTTTGAAAGCGTTGCAGAAGGTGCATGGGATACTACAGCCAGAAGCTGAAGTACCTGCGGGCGAGCTTCCAGCTCGGTCGCACCCCTTGTGGAGAGCAGCAGCCAAGTCGAAACGTTTTTCTTTGATTGGCAGAAGGAAGATCAAACGGCGAACTCACATCAACCTTAGTGAGTTGTCAGCAGCGCTGGCTTCTGAAGCTCGTCGGTCCAGGAAGCATCCAAACTCCAGATTGCTTCTGGGCTCTGACAGTCAAGTGGTTTTGGGAGCGTTGGTGCGGGGAAGAGCTTCTTCGGCAAGCTTGAATCAAAAGCTGAGGCGTCACTTGCCATGGTTGCTAGCGTATAACACCTACCCTGCAGTAAACTATGTGAACACTGCTGACAATGTAGCAGATGACCCTACGAGGGACCGGACATGTCGAGATCCTCAGCCCGCGCAGAGGTGGTTCACCGCCGCTGAAGCTGGCGATTTTGAGGAGCTGGACAAAGTTTTGGCTGAGGCGCAAGTCGATGACAAGGTGATTGCTAGGCTGCCTGCCGAGCGTGAGCTGAATGTTAGCCCCTTGGATCCTCTTTCTCGACGTGCAGCACTTCGGCGAGACTATGCAAAAAGGAGGACTGCTAGGACGGGGGGGAGGGATAAGGCAGACACCACTCCTGTCACCGGACGCGTAGAGCCATGGTTGCAAGCCGCACCTTTGAGCGCCGATTGCGTTGCATTGCTGCGGAAGTTGCCGGCGTCGCAGTTTGTGCTTCCACCAGGCCAAAAACTGGAAGAGCTCGTGTTGCGGCAAGGGCACTTAGACCTCTTTTCTGGCCAACGTGGTGCGGCAAAGGCTTTAGCAGAAACAACAGGCCATTGGGTTCTGACCTTCGATGTGGCACACCATGCTAGTGAAAATTTGTTGGACCCGAGCGTGCAGGACTTCCTGGCCAGCCTTGTTGAGGCAGCAGCCTTTTTGTCGGTGGGCGCCGGACCGGTTTGTGCATCTTTTTCACGAGCAGTCCGACCACCAGTGCGAACGAAAGAATGCCCGACGGGCCTTGCTGACCTGACAGACAACATGCGCGAGAAAGTCCAAGTCGGCAATGCTATGTCGCAATGGTTGGCTGCTTTCATCGCCCTCGTGCATGCGGACGGGATCTGCTGGTGGGTAGAGAATCCTGCGGGAAGCTATCTCTGGTGGCAGCCTGAATGGGTTAGGCTTATCACCACACTTGGGTTACGGTTTTTTACAACCGACTACTGCAGATGGGGCACTCCTTGGCGGAAGAGAACGAGGTTTTTGATGAATACCAGCGTAGCTGGGGAGACCCTACTGTGCCAATGTGAAAGGCCGCACATTCAGCTTGTTGGATACAGCAAGAGTCGGGGCTGCTGTTTGACGAAAGCAGCAGAAGCTTACCCCACTGGTTTATGTCGGTTTTTAGCCAAAGTTGTGGCTGAAGAGCTGAAGCCAGCTGACCGTAGACAGAAGTTCGACGTAGCTAGCTGTGCAAAGTGTTGTGGCCGCCGAATAGGCGAGGCTTCGCACCCAGGGCCGCGAGTCCGAAGAGTGCTACCAGCAGTTGAGCTAGATGAGGTGGACACAGTGACGCCTGCTACACGACTGCTGCAAGCCCGAGCCTTAGAACGCTATGCGAGATGGCTGTCAGAGAATTTGCCTGCAGATGTACTCCAACACCTTTGGGATAGCCCTTTGTTTCAGGTTTCTTTTTTGCAAAGTTTTGGCCACTGGAGTTTTCAGCGCGGAGAGCCCATGTACTTATTTCGCCACCTGGTGGTGCACTACCAGAAGTCAGCGCCTGCAGTGCGAGCGCAACTGGCACCAGCTTGGGATTTGCTTCAACGCTGGGAAATAGTACAACCTGTGCAGCACAGACCGCCCATGCCTCGGCAGTTGCTAGATGCCTTTTTGAGTCTGGGATTACTTTGGGGATGGCACCGGTGGGTCGGCGTGACTGCTTTGGCTTTTCATGGTGCCACAAGGATTGGAGAGCCTATTAAAGCACGAAGAGCTGATCTGCTTTTACCGGCCGACCTATGCGTGGATGACAATGTTTGTTTTCTGCGAGTGGGAGCTCCAAAGCCGGGACGTAGGGGTCGCGGCCGAGTTCAACATGCCCGCGTTTCCCATGCTTCCACGGTGAGGCTGCTGGTTTCAGTTTTTGGGAACTTAGAGCCGGAGGCGTTTCTTTTCTCTGCCTCACCAGCCGCATACCGGTGGAGATGGGACAAAATAGCAGAAGCTTTACAAGTACCACATAGTAGCCAGATCACCCCAGGTGGTCTTAGAGGCGGCGGAGCTGTTCATTTGTATCACACTGGAACTCCCATTTGGGATATACTTTGGCGGCTTCGCTTAAAACAACTAAGTACTTTAGAGAGCTACCTGCAAGAAACAGCTGCCAGTGGAGTGTTAGCCTCTCTCCCTGCTGAATGCCGTGAGAAAGTGAAATCAGCTTCTTCCTTTCTGCCTTTTCTTTTAGATGCCTTGGACAAGCGCCCCCCAGATTCCTGAAGTGGCACGAATGGCTGCGCTAGCAGCTATCAACTCGCTGCTGAGGGCGCCGGTAGTTGTGGGACTGGAGTGCACTGCAACTTGGAGGAGGATGGACGCATCTGGTTTACTTTTAGTTTTTCAGCTGCTTAAGGACCCATTTTCCAATTTTGCAGTGCCTGCAGATGGCGCGCCACAGACGCCTACCGTTGCCTGGGACAGAGAAAAGGGGAGCAGACCACACTGCGACAAACATGCCTTGAATGTTTTTCGCTGGGTGTCAGTGTTTTGGGCACCCGCCCACATGCCGCCCTGGTGGAGTGCACTGCAACTTGGAGGAGGATGGACGCATCTGGTTTA